AAAGTATTCTGAATTAAACTATCTACTTACCTTCATCAGGAAGTTCTATACCTTATTTATGGTCTCATGTTGCTAGTGTTTATTTTAGCCTAAAGTACTTCCTATAGCATATCCTATAAAGCAGGCCTCTGGCTGGGCATGGTGGCTCAAATCTGTAATCCCAGCACTTGGGAGGATGAGGCAGGAGGATTGCTGGCAGTTTGAGGCTGCCTGGGCTATAAAATGAGCTCACAGCCAACCTGAACTGCATAGTAAGACCCTGTCTCAAAGACAAAAAAAAAAAAAAAAAAAAAAAAAAAAATCAGGTCTCAAGTGATGAACTCAGTTTTCATTCTTTTGGGAAAGTCTTTCCTTCATTTCTAAAGGAAAGAACTATCAGGTATAGTATTCATAGGTGGCAGTTCTTTCAGCACTTTAATCATCCCATTCCGTTCAGGCCTGCAACATTTCTGTAGAGAAATCCACTCACAACAGTAATCTAGTGGTAGTTCTCTTATAATTGACAACTTTCCTCATGGCTTTCAAAATTGTGTTTCACTTTTCAAAATTTGATTTTAACATTTTTAGGTGAAAACCTCTTTATGTTCACCTATTTTGAATCCTTTGAGCATTAGGTATGTGTTTATTTTTCTCTTGAGATCTTTCTGTCATTAATTCTTTAAGCTTTCCACCCCTTTCTTTGCCCCTTCTGGCACTCCTAAAATTGTTATGATACTATCCTATAAAGTCCACAAATTTTCATGCCTCTTTCTCATTCTTTTATCTGTACATTAAAAATGGTCAAGTTAGCCAGGCATGGTGGTGTACACCTTAATCCCAGCACTCATTTGAACTGCAGAGCAAATCCTTGTCAAAAAAGAAAAAAAAATGGCCAAGTTGTATTGTTATAGGCATTTTAACATAAATTTTACCTGGTTCATTATATCCTGTATAGAGGAATGCAATGTAGTAAAAAGGGGAACAAATCCCTTAAGGACTCATACTATTCTTTTTTATTGTAAAAAATGCATGGATGCCCAAAATTGTGAAAAATACAAAGACATCGTACACACCCATAATACCATCACCTAGAAAGTACAGTGAGAATTCCAAGTTTGAGGGCAGTCTGGGCTACACACTGAATTCCCAGCTGACCAGTACAATATAACAAGGCCATCTGAAACTTGCCTTGCTCTGAAGTTCTCCATTGCTTTTTTCCAGGCCCTAATTTACCACCACACACCAAAGGACCTTCTGGACTAGTTTTGCTTGCTTTTGTACATCACATGAACAGAATCACACAGTATGCACTCTTTGGGTAGGTCTGGCATTCCACTCTTCTGGGTCTGGAATCTCACATTGTATGAGCATCATCCCTGCTTTATGTAGTTGTAGATGGCTCATTCTCATTGCTAATAGTATGTTTATTCATCCATCTTCCTCTTGATACTGAGGTTGCTCCCTTTGGACCTGCAACAAGTACTTAAGCTATGATTATTCTAGTCTTCTGGGGAAAATGTGTAAGCATTTTTGTTAAACATATTCCTAGGAGTTGGACTATGGAGTCAGTGTCTGCTTAGCTTTACAAGACAGTGTCATGTGATTTTTCAACTGAGCTCTGGTTGCTACATGTGCTTGTGTTAAAAAGACTATGTGGGCCAAAGCAAACAACTGTGGGTCACTAGTTTGTCACCACTGGCCCTGGGCATCTGTACTTCTAAGGAAAGATCTCTTAGGAGGTAAGTTCCAATTTCAGCAACTCATTCCCTTGCCTAAGACCTTGCAACATACCCTTCCCTTTGAGCCATGCTCTCACTCCTTGCATGAGCTGTCCTTTCTTTCTCCTGATCTTCACATAGGCATTTTCCACAACTCCATCTTGGCCTTAAAGATCTCAGAGGGCTGCCAGACTGCCTACATCTTGGAACATATTGTTGTGTGAATACTTACACATATGCAAATTTGGATTTTTTTCCCAGTTAATACTACTGATGAAATAAGACAAGAAAAACAGGAAACTGTAGTAAAAGCCTGAGTGAGGGTCACTGTACAAAAATCTGGTGGTGAGGGAACAAATGACCAAGACGGTACATCCCAGGTAGAGGAAACAACTTCGTGAAAAAAAAAAAAAAAAAACAAAAAAAAACAAAAACAGGTGGTGCCTGGCCGTTTGGAGGAACAGCAATCAGGGGTACACATCTTGGAGTAAGGTAGGTGAGACTGCAGGCAGCTTTATATGCCACCCTCAGAACTCCAGACTTTTGAATAAGGGAAAGCATAGTTTTTGAGAAAGAGACATGTGGTCGAGAGGCATCCTTTTCAGTTTCTAACTATGAAGCTCCCGTAGCTTACATATTGCTACCCTATGATGGCCATTTAGCCTGCTTCCAATGTTCTACACAAAGCATGTCTATGTTTTTTCCTGTCCACATTTCAGCTGACAGTCTTCACATTAAAAAGTCTCTTTGCTGTGCGTGGTAACAGAGGCCCATAATCCTAGTACTGTGAGAGGTTCAGATAGGTAGATAACAAATTTTGAGTCCAGCTTTGCTGTCTTAGTAAGATCCTGGCTCAAAATCTAAAGATGATAGGACGCAGCTCAGGAGAATGGCCCTGGGTTCAAGCTCCAGTGCAGGAGAGGGGGGCAGATACTAACATTTTTGAATAATAACCCAACTCAAAGAAAACAAAGTAGCTCAGTAAGGTAGTCCATACCCATAGTACCTGCTACTTCAGAGGCAGCAGCTGAAGCAGAAGCAGCCTAAAGTAGAGTGCAGCCTGGGCAACTAACTTAACATGATGCAGGCCCAAGTAAAACAAACATTAGGTTCATAGTTTACTTATATATTTTTGGCAGAACCAGGGATTGAACTCAGGCCCTTGCACTTACCAGGCAAATACTTATTCTGAGCTATTTCCCCAGCCCCAAGGTTCACAGTTTAGCCCAATGTCACAGGTTCAATCTCTATCCAGGGCAGTAATAACAAAAGAAGGGATAAAAGGAAAGAAGTAACAGGCAACCCCAGCTCACACTCCCAGCCCAGTGCCTTTTTCCTATTTACTATTTTCTTGTACCGGAATCGAACTCGTGACCTCTAACTTTCCAGGCAGGTGCAGTGCTGCTGTTCAGTTATATTCTGCACCCTCCACTTTAAAATGTGGATTCAGTATAGACCAAACTTAAAGGGGCAGAAATGCTTCCCAGGTATGGAGGTGGGGGCGCCCCTCTGGCCTCTACAAGGGGGATGTTCTCTGGGACCTCAGGGAGGGTCAGGCTCACAGGGGCTCAGTTGTTCCAGACTCAGAAATACCCACCCAGCTTCTGCTCACACAAAGGACTACTACCTAGACTCCATAAAGAACTCAGAGCCCCAGATTTAATGACCTAAGCCAAACATGAGAACCTAAAATGAAGAGACACAACACAGATGAACTACGAACAGCAAATATATGAAGAAGTGCTCAACATCACTGGCCCTTCAAGAACTAATTAAAACACCGCTGAGATTCCATCTCACTCCAGAAAGAATGGCTATAATCAAGAAATGAACCAGTAACACATGCTGTGGCAGCTGTAGGGTGTAAAGAAATGCTTCTCCGTTGCTGGGGGGCGAGGAGGGGGTGTAATCTGGTATAGTCACTGATGCAAATCCCTTTGGAGATTCCTAAAAATCTAAAGGTTCCATTTGACTCGGCTATTCCCCTTGTAGGCGTCTTCCTGAGTTAAAAGCATCGTGCCATGATCTTTGCATACCCAAGTTCACAGCAGCACAATTTATAACAGCTAAATCTGGGATATAGCCCATATGACCACCAACAGATGAAGAAGGAAAAAGTATGATGGCCAGCCAGATAGCTCAGCAGATTAAAGCGCCTAGGGCGTGCTGAGAGGCAATTCAGACTGGGCTTGGTGTTGCGCACCTGTAATCCCAGTGCTTGGGAGGATGAAAACAGGAGGATCACTACCAGTTCGATCTGTGTGGTGAAACCCTGTAGACCCCGTAGCATTTATATACAATGGAGTACTACTCTGCTTGTAAAGAAGGATAAACCTTGAGTTGTTTTTAGGTAAACGGATGCACCTCAAGACCATCTTAAAAGAAGTGAGACACAGAAATTTAATTCTCCTACTGCTCTTTTGTGAGAGAAACCCAAAAGGTAAACAAGTAGCACAATGGAGGCCCGACAACAGTAAACAGGAAGAACAGGCTCAAATAGGAAGCACAACAAAGGAGTGGGAAGAAGAAACGATGAGAAATGGATAAATAAAAGAACTGGAGAAAATGGGGCGTTGAAGCATTGGAGGGGAGATTCGAGGAGGAAAAGTTAAGATATATTACATGAAGATACATTCTCTTTGATGATCATTAAACATAACAAATATGTACTAATATTAGGTAATAAATTTTTTTAAATTTTACGAAAATAAACACCCATCCAGCAGTCGCCACCATGGAAGACCAGAAGTTCTAAATGAAGTCAATGAAAGGAAAAACAGCAATCTCCCCGCGAAAAAGGAAGCGCGCCTGCGCAATGACTGCCGGGCCCAGCCCGCGCGCGCTTCCCTTCCCACGATCTCCCGCATGCGCCTGCGCACTACGTGCAGCTCCGCTCAGACCTGTGAAGCTACGGAACATGGTTAGCCATGCTTTCTGACAGTAGAGAAATCTGCTCCTTCGCGTACCCGATTTCTCTTCCTTCACAGGCCACTCGCCTTCCTATTAACACATAACCCAAGTTACCCCACGCCCGCAGCACCCAGGGGCCACGGTCGCCCAAGTGTATTGTGGGAAGGGACGTACGTAGCCACGTGACGCGATCCCGCCTATCGGCGCGCAGACCGCACTTTGCGGCTCGGCTTCAAACACGTTACGGTGAAGCCCAGCGGCCTGCGGGGCCCGCCTCCTCCGCCTGGGTCTGGGGCCCTTCGAGAGACGCCGGTCGGGGTGGGGGCGCCCGGCGCGGGGGCGGGGCAGTGGGGTCGAGTGACGTCCCGCCTCACCTATTCCGGCGCGGGCTGAGGGCGCGCGCGCGGCGCGGTGGGCCCCGCAGCCAATGGGGGCGGGGGGCGGCCCGGTGCGGGGGTAAAAGGGGGCGGGCTCCCAATCCGGTTCCATCCGGTTCTCCCACCGCCCCCGCCGTGGGTTCCAGCAGCTCTGGCGGCGGGAGGAACGGCAGCGGTCGAGCTGCGTATCTCCGCGAGGCTCCCGTGCGCCTCGACCCGCAGCCTCCGCACGCGCCCCGCGCGCCGCCAAGATGCCCAAGAGGAAGGTGAGCGCGGCTGCAGCGCGCACAGCCCCGGCGCCCCTGCTCGCTGCTTAACAGTTCCCCGCGCCAGGCCTTGGCCCGCTAAACCCAGCGCGGCCAGGGTTGGGCGAAAGGCGGTCGGGCCGGCGGGCGGACGCGGGGTCCCGGGCCCGAGTTCTGGAACGTTCGCTTGCGGGAGGGGAGGCAGGTCGGCGGGAAGCGTGACGTCACGCAGCCGGGCATTGTTCTCGGAGGGGCTGGGGCTCGAGGCGGCGATCCGGGGTCCCTGGCGCCCCGCGCGCATCCACCCGTGTGTTTCTCCCTCAGGTCAGCTCGGCCGAAGGGGCGGCGAAGGAGGAGGTGAGCGTCCGGGTCCTAGCCCGGGGCCGGGGGAGGTGGGCGGGGGGTGCGCCGCTGGCCTCTTTGGCGTTCTTGCTGATGGTGTCTTTTCTCTCTCCAAGCCCAAGAGGAGATCGGCGAGATTGTCGGCTGTAAGTATTAGCGACCTTCCGTAGTCTTCATTTTGCTGGGGATCGTGCACCGCCCCAGAGTACTCAGCTGATTTTTCCTTTTTAGAAACCTGTTCCAGCTAAAGTGGAAACGAAGCCAAAAAAGGCAGCCGGAAAGGTAGGATTCGAAACTTAAACGAGTCGTGAGAAGGGCCACCGTGCTACTTGATGTCTAGCTTTTGTTACTGCGTTTTTTTTTTTTAAGTTTTCATTTTTTGTGTGTATTTTAATGATTTTGGTAGGTCAGTTTCTGTGTCTGGGTAAACAGTTCCGGAGCAAAACTTGTCAAATAAATGCTAACCTACCGTTCAGAGATAAGGTTAAGATATCAAACTATTAAAATAGGAACTTGAGGCTACAAAGGAAATATGTTCTCTAATGTGTACACCGTGGTAGTTGCTTGCGATCAGTGCCAGTGTGTGCTTTCGCTCCTGACACTAACCACCAAGTCAGGATTAGAGCCGGGAGGTGGCTAGGGAAGTTCTTGTGTGTATCAGCTCCCTTGGGGCCAAGATCTCTTATCTCTATGCATCGAGGCTTATGTTTACTGAAAACAGGACTATCGGAATTCTAAAAGCAGTTGAAATGCAGTTAGGAATAATTTTGTCTTAAGGGCGTTGAGACTGCAGGTCTTTAGGATGACATTCTCCTTAGTGTACGGGCTAAATTAGATTTAAATGTGGGTTTGTTTGGGTGCAGCATTATAACCACATTCTGTAAGACCACATGTGCTCCCTGGTGTGATTTCTTTCAACTCAAAACTTGCTAGAGTTTGCTCTTTGAATTGTTTAAAAAAAAAAGACTTGTATTAGCACTCTTCCCAAAATGTAAAGGCATAATCGCATAAAGAAATAGGATTAGGGGCTGGTGAGATAGCTCAGTGGTCTAAAGCACCTACTTAGAACAAGCTTAGCTAAAGCACAGGGACCGCGGTTCAATCCCCCAGCACCACATGCCAGCCAGCCCCGCCCCCTGATGGGCTGAGCTGGCCACACGCGCACACACACATAAATAAAATTAAAAAAAAAAAGATTAAGAAATAGGATTAACACATTGCTGCCACCAACCACGTCGTTATTCTAGGCAGATCTGTCTCATGTCATATGACAGGCTCATACCAATGGATGGGACAACCCTGTGTGTAAATACCCCTCATCCCAACCCCCAGAGCTATCAACAGCCCCATGATTAATATATGCTAATTTTCTCTGTGTTGGGGAGCCTTTGATAAACATTACTTTTTTTTGTACTGGGAATCTATAAACTCAGTACTTTGTGCTTCCAAGGCAGGTGTTTGTGCCACTGAGTTATATTCCTTAGGATTTTTTTTTTTTAAACCTTGCCTAGTCCTTTGCTCTTTTAGCTTTTATTTCTTCTTGATCTCCCTTAAAATGTTTGAAATATGAGTAATTAAAATTTATTCCCAGCAGGTTGAGGGGAGCAGGTAGCATAACCAACAAGAAAGTTTTGGGTTTTTTTCTGTAAACGTCCCTTGAGGGGCAAAATTATTCAGCTTTCAAGAACGAAAAGTTGGAGAAACATGTATCTCAGTATTTTATCTAACTTACATATAAAAAGCTTTAACCTTCATGATGTTATTTCATTTAACTTTTATAATAAACTATAGTCTTCATGATTCAATCTTACTGAGTAAAGCCTTCAACAAATTACCCTTTCTTACTGTATTGTTTACTATGTGCACCATGGTTGTTGATTACTGTGGTAGATAAACTATTTTAAAATCACTTTTAGTGTGAGTTTTTGACTTGTATCATTTCCTTAGAAAGGAATGCCTTTATCAGAAAGCCAAAAATCTTACTTATTAAACTATTTTGGTGGGCTGGTGAGATGGCTCAGTGGTCTAAAGCAACTACTTAGAACAAGCTTAGCAAAGCAAAGAGACTGCGGTTCAATCCCCCAGCACCACATGCCAGCCAGCCCCGCCCCCTGGTGGACTGAGCTGGCCACACACACACACACACACACACACACACACACACAAATAAAAATTAAAAAAAAAATAAACTATTTTGGGGGACAGTATTGATTAAACCCAGGACTTGGAGTATACTGGGCAGGCACTGCCACAGCTGCACTGCAGTCTGTATGGCGGTCCTTCAGCTTATCTTGGAGGTTATGGTCCAGACACCCCTGTGATAAGTGAAAATCACCAAAGTAGTGACATTTACTTTAGTGTTTATATTTTAAGTCATTATAAATTTCTCCTACACTTTTAAATGTTCTTAACCATTTTCTAAACTCATAAACCTATATAATTTTAACATTACAGATACACCGTACGGACTGCAAAATCCTGCAATATAGCTAAAAATCATGATAAATAAATTAGATTAATATTTTTTGAAAAGTCTCAATACGGTCTGCAAAAGTCGAATTCCAAAATAGCGCTGTACTGCTATACTTTCATGAGACTCCCTTCCCTGAATGCGGATGGACCCCAGGACCTTCCAGTTCCCATACTGCACTCAGACTTTCGTTTTCCTGCCTCAGCACCCCTAGCCTGCTGGATTGCCTGGATAGGAACTTGTTCTCCTCATCTGATTTATTCTGTCTCTTGTTAAAAATCTGCTGAATCTCAAAAATCTCAAAAGGGCATTTGTGGTGGATTAATTTCTAAGGCTTTATTTTTACATTTATATTAGGATAGTAGTTATGAAACTAGTCCTATTCACATTACAAAGAGCGAGCTTTTACCTACAGAAGGGGTTGTGACAGTCCTTGTCCGAGATATATTTGTGTATATAATTTTGGCATTTGCCAGGCATGGTGGCTGACACCTATAATCTCAGCACTCTGAGGCTTAGGCAGAAGCATCACTGCAAGTTGGAGGCCAGCCTGGGTTACATACATAGTGAGTTCAAGGCCAGCCTGAACTATGTAATAAGGCCCTGTCTTAAAAAGGGGGTAAGTGTATAACTTTGTATTTACCTTGACGATTTACTGAGTTAATAGTCATTGCTATTTATGGAATGTAACCCTGTCTAAAAAAAGGGAGGGGCGTAAGTGTGTAACTTGGTGTTTATCTTAAAGGTTTACTGAGTTCATAGTCATTGCTGTTAGTTTATGGAATGTATCCACTGATAAGGGAGGTATCATGAAGTGATTTTTCTCCCTTCTGTGAAAGTTCTAGGGATGTACTTTCATGCTTTTCAGATTCTTCAAACACCTGAGTGAAAATGATACTGCCAGTGAGATAGCTCAGCAGACTAGCACAGGGAGTGGGACTCCTTTCCCAGTGGCCTCACCCCCAGGCACACTGATCTGGCCAGGACTGGGCGTGGTAGCACACACTTGTAATCCCAGCGCTGGGGAGGCTGAAAATAGGATCACTACCAAGTCCAACCTGTATTGTGAGACCCTGTACCAAATACATAAAATTTTAAAAATAATACTCAAAAATTAGGTTCTTTTAGCCTCTTATGTGATACTCAGGAACTAACTAGGTTATACAGCATGATGCTTTCCTCAGGTGGATGGTCTTCATGTGAGGGGAAAGATGTTACTCCTTGTGCCTGAGAGAAATCCAGGTAGATAGGGTCCCACTGGGAGAACACTGCAGGGATCACCCACTGCTTGTTCTGTGGGGTAGCAACACAGAGCAGTGAGTGGTGTGGGGCAACGCTCTTGGATAATGACATTGATGTTCAAGGCCTATGGTCAATTGCCCTGGCAACGTTGCTTGCCAGCAGTGAGGCAAGTGATGCTGCCAGGGTGAGCTGGAGTTAGCTCAGACTAACATCCTGGTGTGTAATGTGGTGTAAATATGGCAGCTGTCATGGACTCTGTCCTGTCAAAACATGCAGGCAGCTCTCCATAAAGGTACTCTTTCACTCTTTCAGGATAAATCTTCGGACAAAAAAGTGCAAGCAAAAGGGAAAAGGGGAGCCAAGGGAAAACAGGCTGAAGTGGCTAATCAAGAAACCAAGGAAGATTTACCTGCGGAAAATGGAGAAACTAAAAATGAGGTCAGAAGCAGCTATGTGGTGATTTGGGTTCTGAACATGAGATCTTTATGAAAGTATATATGTAAATAAGTGTAAAGGTTCATTGTGTTGGTTTGGGTTATGTTTATGGTACTGGGGATTGAACTTGGGGTACTTGGTAGTTATACCCCCAACCCTCCTGTTATTTTGGAGATCAGGTTCTTACTATATTGCTGAATTGCCCAGGCTGAAGCCAAATTTGGGATGCTCCTGCTTCAGCCTCCCAAATGCTGGGATTACAGGTATGCATCACCACACCCACCTTTTTGGTATGAAACTTTTTTCGAAACATCATTTATTCACTTTTCTTTCATATGAGTGTAGGGTCTGTCTTTTTGGCGGAACCGGGGATTAAACTCAGGTCCTTGCGCTTGCCAGGGAAGCACTTATTCCACTGAGCCATCTCCCTGGCCCCTGTGTGGTGTCTTTTAAAACACATTACTAGTGTTTTTATTTGCTTTTTTTCTATGTTTTACATGGCAGTGCACAGGCTTGAGAATCTTGGTTTGTTTTGAGATGAGGTGGGCTGCAAACTTGACACTTTGACCTTAGGCTCCCAAATAGCTGGCACCTGCTCCCCTGCTTAGCTTTGTTTTTCTTTGGTGTTTTGTTTTTTGCTTTCATATCCATTTCCTGGCTTGATTTCTCATGAAGAAAGTAAGAGTAGACATAGTGATACATGCCTGTAATTGTGAGGCTAAGGCAGGAGGATCAGGTGTTTATAGCCAATGTATAGTCCATAATGAGACTGTCTCAAACATTGGGTTCAAGGCCAGCCTGGGGTACACATAGTTCAAGATCCTATCTTGAAGCTTACAACTTACTTTTTTTTAAAGAAAGAGTTTCTTCTCATAGCTTAAAAGAACAAAGGTATACGGGTATACTTCTTTAACTCCAGCTACTGGAGGCTGAGAATATGGCTTAGTGGTTGAGACCTCCTGGGTTTAAACGCTAGTGCTACAAAACAACCCACAAAATGTTAACAGTGAAAACCCCACTTTATTTTGAGACAGAGACTCCGTGTAGGTCCAGTTGGCCTCAAACTCATACCAGTCCTGCCTCAGTCCCCCAGGTGCTGAGATTATAAACATACACCACACACCTGGTGGCTTTTACTTTTTAATCTTAGTTTGTTTTTTGTTTTTTGGGTTGTTTGTTTTTTGTTTTTTTTTGCTGTTTGGGTTGGGGGCCTTGTTTGCACGTGCATCTTAACTTCCTTGTTCTTAGCAACACTAGGCATCACATACTGCTTGGGGACCAATATGCTGCACATTACCAAAATATAATATGTGTGGCTGTTGGTAGGCCACAGTCAAGGTAGTTGCAAGGTAGGACTTGGAGTAGGTAAATTTGCATATGCAGAATCTAGGTATGTGAGTCATGGTATTTTTAAGAATAGTAGAGTTACATAGCTAGGCATGAAGCACATCCCTTGTAATTCCAGCACTCTTAAAGGCTGTGGCAGGGATAATCACAAGTCTTTTGGATTGGGTTTGGTTTTGGATTGTAAATTCATACTCAGCCTAAGCAACTTAATGAGTTAATGAGACTGTCTAAAAGAGCTGAAGATGCAGCTTGGTGCAGAGGCACTGGATTCAGTCCCCAGTATTCGTTGTGTAAACGTATGTACATTTTCATACTTAGTGAATGCTGGTGATCTCAGGATGGTGGTACATAATCAGAAGTTTGCTCACTTGTTTTCTTTGATTTGCAGAGTGCAGCTTCTGATGAAGCAGAAGAAAAAGAAGCCAAGTCTGATTAATCACACACCATG